ACATGGGGAGCACATGCAGACTGCACACAGATAGAGTAGGAGGGACTCAAACCCACATGACATGGGGAGCACATGCAGACTGCACACAGATAGAGTAGGAGGGACTCAAAACCACATGTCAGGGGGAGCACATGCAGACTGCACACAAATAGAGGAGGGGGACTCAAACCCACATGACATGGGGAGCACATGCAAACTGCATACAGACACAGAGGGGGGGATTCAAACCCACATGACATGGGGAGAACATGCAAACTGCACACAGACATAGAGAAGTGGGACTCAAACCAGCAGCCTGGAGGTGTCAGGCAGCAGTGTTGACCAGTGAGACACTGTGCTGCCCCATGGATACAGATTAACAGTGAACAAGACAGATACTGCATTATAAAAAATTTAATTGTGTAAATCGTTACACATTTCTCTGTTCAAATACAAAGTAGAAAATAAATCTCTATGTATAATTCTAGTCCAATATTCCTGAAATCCATTTATAAACATACTCACTTCGGAATATAACAAAAAAGATGAATATAAATATGATTCCACTAAACATTCCTCCAAATGTTGCTTTTTCAGCTGGAGATGGGGAATATTTCACTGAGAACTCAATGAAAGAACCTGAAATGAGGTAAGAGTAGTCAGTCAACAAGTAATTAATGTGAGACACAAGAAAAAGCAAATACATTTTGTGGTTAATTTGTCTATCAGATGCTTTTGTCCAAAGTGACATGTAAGTAAGGATCAGACAGCAGGATCAGCCTGCGGTTAAGTTCTAACCCATAGAGCCACACAGGTTAGTAAGCAGATTAATAAGGGTCATGAAAAGTCAGTGAGGGTGTTTAGCTGAGAGACATTATTCAGCCTAAATCATGCTTCCAAACAGCTATAAAGCCACATGCACAGGGAAACCAAATGAGCCAAACAGCCTGTATGATTCCATCCAGGTAAGTGGATAAGTGTGACCCCAATGAGCACATATGAAGGCAGAGTGATGGGGTGCAGCCAGGCCTTCTGTGAAATTCCAGGGCATGAGGGACACACAGGGATCAGGAGCTGGGCTCCCATTGGCAGGTGAGGGAGCAAAACAAGTAACATTCACATCAGGGACACATTACAGTTACAATGAACCAAACTCCGCCTACACATGTTATACATTAGTGTATGAGGGGTAGGATTAGGATATCCATCCGCACCACGCATGTTATACGTTAGTGTACGAGGAGGGGTAGGATTAGGATATCCATCCGCACCACGCATG